TCTTTTTCCAATGTTTTGAGTAAAACATTGGTGGCGACTCCATGAACCCTTCCTTTTTATGAAAACCGCTAATCCATGGAGGGTCCCGCTTGGGATTAACATGGATTGGTGAGCCTTTTAATAAAATTGCTCGTTTGACGAGGTCTCAGTTTGAGAATAAGTCATTCTAGCAATCCATATTTTTAAACAAATAAAAGAGTCCAACCATCCTTCGCGAATGCCGAAAGCCCGTTTCGGGCCAGTGGCGACATCTATGAAGGAGAATGAGATCATTGACAAGATGTTTGGACGTTTCCAAAAAATTCTCAAAGGTAATGATGAGTTGTAGGTTATGGGCTGAGAGGAACGATGAGTATGGGCTTCCTCATAATGGGTAAAGCTTTTTTTATTTTTTGTTTTTTCTACAAGGTAAATAAGTAAATTAAACAACAATGATCGTATTAATAAGAAGAAGAAGAAAAAAGGTTCAGGCAATATTAAATGTTAAAACAGTTGAGACATCTATGATATATATTTCAAATCGATGAATAAAAAGTTTAACCAAACGTCAAATTTTTAAGAAAAATCATTTTTAAATCTATTGTATCCATTTTTTTTCTTATACACATCTTTTATAACGTGCTTATTAACATCATCATTTTATAAAATTATAAAAAAAAATTAATTCAAAATGTTAATTTAACATGAAGATATTTTATATATAAAAATCATTTCTCATAAAGACCCTAATTAGAAAAATCATTAATTTTTTACCATAATATGGTAATTAGTTACAAAAATCATTTCTCATACCCCAAGTAAAAGTAAGTTAAGCCTTAAACGGCACAAAGTGTAAACATTTTCATAGTCGACCTAATTTATTTTGTCTCTAATATATATAATACGCAAAACTATTAACACTGTAACTTTAAGCCTTTAAGCTTCATATTTTTCACACTGCGATCCAGCTCATCACAAAAACGATATCTGAGGCAGATCTATGTTCATCTTTACATAAAGAGCATCAAAAGAAAAGGGAAAAAAAATTACTACGATGTTAAAATTTCTGAAGAGAAAATATACATGACCACACTCCTGGCGTTACATACTAATTTTATGTGCCTCGTCATGTCTATAAACGAATAAAACTATGATTTCATTGCATATATGTATTTCATAGTTTCATACAGTACTCTGGATCACATCTGGCTTAATTTTGTGATAGGCTTTCAGGTCTTCGTATAAAAGGCCAACAACTACTAGCACTCACTTCATGCCTGCAATAAAATAAATTGTTACTTACAACTAATAATAATATAATAAACACATCAAATTATAACATAATATTAAAGTGAATCTCGTTCTTGAATAACATATGTTATCTTTTTGAAGAAAAAAAAAATAGTTGTTGTTTATGATTTGTTAGGTAATTTTAGCTTTCTGATTCATTGGGTCAATAAAACTTGATTGTTACACAACAAATTAAATCAACGATTATTGTTGTTAATTTGATGTGTGGGATAAAATTGTACCTAGTAACAAACAAGACCTCCCTGTATTACTTTTTTTTTTCACCCACCACTAACAACTAAACGCATTTTGATTTGATTAAAAGTTCTTAAAAGTTACGCCAGAAAAACTTTATCAATTAAAAGACTACAATAAGCCTTTAACCTCCGTGAAGTAAGGCCAATAAACCCGACAATTGGTGCATACTTTTGTCTACCTTCATTGACTATGTCATTTACCAGAAACAACGTGAAATCGTGAAGATTTCAAGCACGTATTTCCCAAGAAAAATTATGAAAGAGAAAACAAACAACCACTGTTCTAAATTTATTTATGAATTTACAGAGTTCAAATAATAATAAGAAACCATGGATACCACATGCCAACAACTTTTGCTTTTAAATTAAATATCTGCTTCAAGATCAACACGAGGGAGAACTTCTATACTTAGAAAAAACAATTGAGTGTACTGAATAGAAAAAGAATCAGAGAAGCATCTGAAATCTACAAAGGTTCAAAATATAAAAGAAATCATGGATGCTAATTGTCAATAACAACTTTAGCTTATAAAGTTATAAATAAACTATGCATCTCTTTCAAGTGCAACCAAAGGACTTCAATTTGGTTGATAATATGAAAGTCTTTAAATTAATTAACAGTGAATCAAAATCAAATTCTTATTCAAACCTACCAAATACCTTGCAAAGTAAAACCAAATTGAAGATTTCAATTGAGTTTACTAATAAAATCCAGACCTATAGTAACTTCGGTTCTGCATTTCAAAATCTTATTAATTAATTAGATCATCATACTAAACAAATCAAAGCCTACCATTTTGAGAATCAAATGCAATTAATTAGCTTATTGATTTCATATAACTCCATCACATAAACTTAAAAATCATTGACTTTAGTTTGAGCATACCTGCTATTACTTCTTCTGCTACTGTTACTACCACTACTGCTGCTGCTACCAGAACTCTTCATGCTTCCACTATTAATGCTGGATACACCACTATCACTCTCTCCACCAGAAGAACCTGAAAGACTCTTCTTCCACCACTCCTTATCAAGGCCTTTGTTGGATCCATCACAAACCGATGTTCTAGGAGACACCTTGTTGGAACTATTAGACTCATTATTCTTGGTTTTCTTCTTAGACCCCAAAGAAATTGGAAACACCATTTTGAGATAAAACCCCCCACTATCAATATTCACATGACCCTTTTCTCTTCTATCATCAACCTTTCTATTAGGCACGGTTTTCTTGCTGCTCAATTTCCTCTCTTCTACCCTTTTCTCTTGTGCAACAACATGGGGGTGTTCCACGAGATCTTTGAGAGAAAGCTCGTAGCTTGACTCAGGCATGTTGTTAACCATTTCCATGAGTTCCCTTTGGCCTCTTGCAATGGCTTGAGTCTTGGACGCAGGGGAAAGGCACCGGTAGTAGTTTCTGCGTTGATGGGGACTCTTTGGTGGGCTTGTGGACCACAAAGGAGGGGAACAAATACCAGAATCATCTTCCACCTTCGATCCTGCAATTCCCAATTGCACTTCCATGTCACAATTCTTGTAGTTTTTGGGTGGTCTCTTTGAAGCAACCAAACCAGTGTTTGTGCCTCCCCAAGTGTCATAACTATGACTAATGTGTTCAACTTCATTGGAAAATGGAAAAGAAATTGTGGGGTGGTCTCTTTGTGCATCAAGCATTGTTTTTTTTTTCTTGAAGGGAAAATGATGAGTATGATTGTGGTTGTGTGTGTGTGGTTGGTTTTGAAGTGGGAGGGTTCAAGGGATGTTCTTTCCACTCTACACGTTTAGCTTCAAATGGTGATAAATGATAATGCTCTTTCTTTAATTTCTTGGTGATTAAGATTTTTAAAGGAGAAAAAGAAAATGATTGGGAATAGAGAGTGAGAGCGTGTCCTAAAGTCAAGGAATTCTAGATGATGTACTGCCACGGTAGGACCATTCCCCTCCTCGTTTGTTTTTGTCTTTCACCACGCCTCTGTCTTTTGCTTTTTTTGTCTAGTCAATAAATGCCTTAAAAATAATTCATTAACATAATTAAAACAAACTTAAATATGTTTTTTAAGTGAAATAAATTTATTTTTAGTTCGGTAAATTTAAAATCAGTTTTTTAATTTGTAGTTAAAAAGATATTTTAGTCCTATGCTAAAATATTACTAGTGAGTTTGCAAGAAAAAATTCAATTACCATTAAATATCGCACAAAATTATATAAAAATCAGTTGATAATTGTATAATTTTAAAATTTACAAAGAAAACAAATTTATCTTAGAATTAAAAATATTTTTAAATTTTAATAATATAATATTATTATGAAAAAGTATGTTAAAAGCAAATTTAAAATCAGACAAAGATAAATAAATAATAGTTTCAATAAAATATCTTACTTAGAATATTTTCTTAAAAAAGATTTTACTTAAAATTCTTTAATTATTATTTTAAAGAGACCCTTTAACATTTGTCTTTTATTTGCGTGGAGGAAAAGGCGGTAACCGCGTTTGTCCGTCATCGTATGGTTCCAACTTTGTTAAAGAGACAAGACATGACGCACGCAACTTTGCTATTCATTCAAGTATCAATCAATTACACATTTACAAATAAAAATTAGGATTGTCATCAAATAAATTATTAATTATTTATTAGAAAAATGTTAATTGAAATAACTAACAAGGTTTAATTAAGACGGTCAGTAAATAACTAAATTTCTTAAACATATATATTAATATTGATTTGATTTTTGAGGGTGAAACCTATTTAGTGATTTTTAGTCTTGAAAAGAATTAACTTTTGGTTATTAGTTGGAGGTATTCGTAGTGATTAAAAAATTGACTAAAATTAAATTTTTTTTACAGCAATAAAGTTACAATTAGATAAATGTATAAAAATAGATTATATAACATCTTATTTTAACTATTATTTTCTATACTAATGGCTATATTTTTTACTTCAAATTTTGAAAGTTAATTTCTACTTCAAAGAAACTAAATCTAAAAAAGTTAAATTCTCATATACAAGGAAGACTTGCGAGCCACATAATTGAGTCAATCAGGCTAATATAAAAGATTTAGAAGCTTATTGGATCAAAGGGTTTGTGCTCTTTTTAGTAGGGACTTTGTTCTTGTTGTGTACCTTCTTCTCCTTTGGCTTTTTCAGGTTTATTATTCCTTTTATTCTTATGAGATGTTACAAAGAAATTTGATGAAAGCTTTCCTCACGAGGATCTGGTTGTTGGAATTAATTGCTTCTATGGTAAACGTGTCAATGCTTCCAAATTGAAAGGACCACAAATAATTATTGCCATGGCATCATCATTCAGGAGCTGCACTAAGACGTGGAGTGGATCATAAAAGCTATGATCATAATAATGTTGTCTCTCTTTCATTTCCGTGACAAACAATAATGGTTGCTTTTCCCAATTACGAATCTGTGTTTGGTAATCATTGTCACTTCGTCAAATTGGTAATAGTAACAGATACTATTGAATGTTCTCCAAGCAAGGTAAATAGTGGGTACCATCATGGAAGTGTAGCTGCAAAGAAAGGTACGTAGTTTAGATGGTAGCTGTAAAAATCAGTTCTTGAGGTGTGAGTGAAGTACCAATCACGATTGCTTTAAGTTAAAATTAAATAAAAGTAAATTAGAGCTATAGATGTACCTAGTAAATAAAGAATGGGTTAGAATGTGGAAAAAATTTACATGTATAATTTCTTAATGTATGATCTTTAATTAAAATTAGATGTTTATTTTTAGTAATATGTGTATGTATGATCTTTAATTAAAATTAGATGCTTATTTTTAGTAATATGTGTAAATATATATTAATGAGTTTTATATTAAATATAAATATATATTATTGAAGTAAATCTTTAATTATAATTGAAGAAAAGTATTAACTACATACTTAAAAAATTGCATCTAAATTTTATTCTTAAAATTATTTTTAATTGATTAATTTTTAATATTTTTAATCCTTGAATGAACTAAAAAGTTTACGAGTTAAGTTATAGGTCATGACGTGATACTGTGCAAGTTAGAAAATATTAGTTATTTATAATTCAAAGAAAAAAGTTGGCATAAGTTAGAAAAATATAGATAAAAAATGTATGAGTGAAAAAAGGTTTATAAAATCAATTACTTTAAATCTATAAAATTGATTGCACAATCAATTTTGTTTTGTCGATGATGTATCTTGACATTTTTAAAATCAATCAATGCCTGATTTTAAAAATCACATGCAAAATTGGTTGAAACAATTGATTTTGTTTTTAGTTTTTATGTCCACTACACTACAAGAAAAAAGTGTTTAGTGATAATAATTTTTTCCATTAAAAACTTAAAAAAAATCATTAGATATATTTAGTAAGAGTTTTTATTTGTCATCACCCTGACTAATATGCAAGTCATTGATAAATTAGCGAAGATTTTTTAAATATCAAAAATAATAATATTTATTGTAATGAAATTATAGTTATTAATATTTATATATAATAGTGACAAAATTTAAGTTACCACAAATATAAAAACGACAAAAGTAATGAATTAATTGACACAATTATTAGTATAAAAGAAATTGCAACTAATTGTTATTGGTCATTAATTATTATCATTTTAACATTTATTTTTTAAATAGTTTTTGTGTGTAATTATTATTAAATTAACTTTTAAATATCATATTTTTTTTTCTCATTATTAAAGAGTATTTCTACCGAATATTAGAATTAATCTCTTTTAAAAATTTAATAGGTATTAAATAGATGTGCATTCTTTTTTAATTTAAGCTTTTTTACTTGGAAGAGCCAAAATTTAAATATCATAATTGATTACATAGAAACAATTTTTAAATGTTAAATCAATATCATACAAATTTACCATTACGTTTTTATGTATTGAATTGTAATGATTATAATTAATATGTTAGTAGGTCAAAATTAGGTTAGAGGGTGAATTTCACTTTGGATGACATTTTTGGTGAATTTGTGTTTGATAAAATTTGGTTTAAAATGCTTGAGTGATATCTAAAAGTTTTCTGATAGATTTGTATCCATAGAAATTATTCATTAGTAAAATTTGTCGAAAATATAAATTTTTTTTCGATAGATTTATATCCATCGATAATATAACTTTTTTTATAATTTTTTTTCTGTCAAAAATATAATTTTTTTGATAAGTTTATATCTGTTAAGAATTATTTGTCGATAATTTACATTTTTCTTGTAGTAAATCAAAAAAGTAATATACTAAGAAACTAACTACCATTGCTGATAGGAAAATTTTTCGTAGTGAAATTTTTACCGCAAATTTTGAAAGCAAAAAAAGAAACAAAGCATAGAAAATATAGAAGTCAACAACAACAGTACATGGAAATCGATGTTACTTGCTGCTATGTCACAAGCAAAACATAGAAATGATAAAATAGAATACAAGACAACTTCATTGATAATTTGATATTGAATCATTGATCATGCATTTGAGGTTAGTCTTTATTGCGGCACCGTCGCTTCAAGGCTGATAAATTGTGTCCACTGGCAATTGCCAGTTTCTCGGGTTAAGTTGATTAATTTCCATTACTCTTCCTCGACAAAGAAAGATATGATTTGTTGTATTTGACTTTAGAAGTGGTTGAGATTTTGCTTCAAATAGAGTCATAGACTCATAATATTCATAATTTACTACATTTTCATTTTTCATTATAGAACAGTGCATGTGTACAACTCGATTACGATATCTGAAAATTACGTATGCTCAGCTGAGTTAATTTCTTTGTTGAAGATTGAAGTTTCTAACTATGCATCACATCAATAATTTTGTGAATTTGTGATTAGAATCTTCCTAAATGTCTTCATAACCACGATGGTGTTTGACGCTATCACGAATGCTTGATCTTTTTATAAGAAAAACTATATATTTCTTTTTTATTGTAATAATATTCGGTAAAGAGAGGAACTAAGATTTTGATTTAATACCAAAAACACATTTGTATGATAGAGAAATCTAAAAGAGATAAAATTAAACAAATTAAAAGATTTTATATGTTAGTCTTGAAAATATTATTTAATGTTATATAGTTTTTATTTTAGTTTCTTAGATGATGACACTTATATTATCCAATTAAATTAATAACTGGTGGTTATATAAAATAACATTATGATGTAATTGAGGATAAGAAAAAAAATGACTGATTTTGACGTTATTTCTTTCTTATCCTACTTTTCTTCTATAGCATTCGGTCTTCTAATTTTAATTGTTAATTAAGTAGTGCTTTCATGCCACCTAATTATCTCATACCATTATCACTAAATAAGCATCCTTTAATTCTGACTCTTTAATTCTACTAGAGAATGTTTAATGCTAAAATTTGGTGAAGTTCGTCATTTAAAAAACATTTATTATCAAGAATTTTTAAGAAAACATTTCGACGATAATAATTTTTCTTTGTTTGAATGGATCACATTTTTTTTGGAAGACAATCCAATTAGTGTTATGTTCGACTATTACTATTAAAACTCTCTTTTCGTGTATATAATGTATGCATATTTAGAATTTTAACTAAAAGTAAATGTTGGACTAAAATAATTATATGCCAATTGATTCATGCACTCTGTGTTCAACAAATTGTATATATCTAACATAAAACAAATACGCATCTTAAAAAAACACCTACGTATAGCAAAACTATTTGCGATACTTTTACCTTGTAAATTGTAATGTAACACACCTATTAGCTTAATTCGAAAATTTTTATAAAAAAAAACCACACAAATAAGATATATGTCTATTATGTTTGTTCAAATTATCTAATGTCGTCAAATCACAAATAAAAAATATACTTTTAACTGTTTAATACAAATGTTTCAAGAAATTTTAATGAAATATTTTCATCCTATAAATCTAATGAAAATTTAAAAAATTGATTTTTTTAAAATAATCATAACAATAATTTTTTAAAATATAAAATTATAATACATAATTTTTTTATAATGTAAGTGTTGTACAATAGGGATATAATTTCTATCATACAAGACTTGAATGGACATGCATGGTATATATTATGCACGCAATATCATCTAATCATAACAAAGTTTAAGTAGGACTTCCTTGAAAATGGTGGGTGGTCCTTTTTTTAATGATCTAGGATTTAGGGATCTAGAATGGTTCTGATACCATCCTAAAATAGTGAATTTGAATCTAACTCAATCCTATAAAATTGGTTTGTAAGATAAGGGTTACTTTTTTACTTATATATTATTTAATTGTCTAATCTCTAATCAATGTGAGACTTGAATTTTTCCTAATAATAACTAAGTGGGAGATAAACAATGTGTGTGGTTATTGCCATCAAAAATCCAACCGAACTAGTTGATTGAATAAGTTTGATTAGAAATTAGTTTTTATTGGTTTAATTGGTTTTTAAAACTGTTTGGTAGAGAAAGAAATAAGGTTACTAGGTATACAACTTCACCAACTCTTTTTCAAGTTTAGGATTGGATTAATGAAACACAAAATAAGTTTATATGACCATATGTCAACCAATTCTAGTTCAAGGGTTCTTTCTAAAGAATTGATGATCTCCCATACTAGATTCAACTCTTTTCTCCTCATGTTATGGTATCTAGTTTGACTTCTAAAGGTAGTTTCTCATCCTTTCTTAGTTTTATATAACCTTTATAGTAGATGATTTCACCTCTTCAAGTCTTAACACATGATTTTCTCTAGGTTCTAACTAGTTCAAGGCATTACATGTTTCTGTTGGGCACTTTGATAATTATCTTAGAATCTAAGAATGTCATATATATCATCTCAATACCATCTTCCTATCTTGATCTAACTCTAAACTAAAACTAACAATTGGGATTCAACCTTTTTGCCTTTACTAAAATCTTATCTGCCAAGCTCTTGGTTCTCTTTAACATATTTAATTTATGATGTTCTAAAGGTCACTCACATGTCAACTAAGGTTCAAAACTAGTGCTAACGATTCATCTCTCTAATCCTCAAGGTAGATGCATTAAGAATTTTCCTACTCAAAGTTTCAAAATCATAATCCTTAAGAAACTCTAACACTCTATCATATTTTTTAAAAAAATTATCAAAAGGTATCTAAGATCTTTGCACCCACCAATACTTCCAACTTATACTTCTAAAATCATTTCTTCTAATCAACTAGTTCATCTTACCTCGACAAGAGATACTTACTTATCAGGTTCACTAGTCTACCTAGCAGTAACTCATACGTACTTAATTTCATACTCTTCTACCTTCCTTAATTATCAACATAAGTAGTTTCCAAAAGTAGCCCACAAGGCCTAGTAATTATTTTCTACGAGTTCCTCTATTTCTTCCTTAAGTCACCCAAACACATAGGCATCACAAACACCACAAGGTTTGCTAGGATTAGGAAAACTACAACATGCATGATATTCAACTTACACTAAGCTTTTTGTAATGATTCATACACTTAACCTCTCCCTCAAGGAATAATTCTAATCCACTTATAAAAACTCTATCTTTACTCAAAATGATACTAGACACGTCTTCAAGGAAAACCTTAGGACTTCTCTTACTAAAGGGAAGTCACTTAGCTCACTTATATTCTCAATTCTTAAAAAAAGAGGATCATGTACACTTGAATATTTCAATCAAAGAAATTTTAACTTGGTTAACAATTATAACTCCACACTCTTATTTTCATCAAAGATAATATTTTATCAAGATAGACTAATAGGACATGGTTGATAGAAAACCAATCTATACCAATATTGTGTTTAGTTAACTAAGAGAAAACAAATCAAATCAACTAGAAACTTCTTTTTTTAGAAATTACAATAAGATACTTTAAATAGATGCTAAAAGTAGTTATGGACGTGGGAGTCTCCACAACCAAATCCAACTTCAAACAAGACACAAACATATTTAGCTTTTTAACATAGGCAAGAGAAATGAAGGAATGGGTTGTACCAAAATCAAACAATACAACAAAAGGTCACTCAACTATGAAACATATACCTTGTATCAGATTTTTAGATTGAGTAACTTCAACACCACTAAGAGTAAATAGTCTTCCAATAGCCTTCAAACGCTTAGATTGAGAACTAGCTTTAGCACGTCATGGCCATGGCGCCTACAGACATTACGTACTAATATGACCCCTTCCACGACAATTGAAACAAGTAGTCTCCTTGTTAGGACAATCCGTGTGCTTGTGCCTAGTACGACCACACCTCTTGCACCTACTGAAAGGTGTAGAAACAGATACCCCACTAGAAGCTCCACTCACAACAAAAGATACAAAAGACTTACTTCCACTTCCTCTAGCTTGATTCCCTTGGAACTTAGTGGGTGTATAGTATGGATTACTCCTACTCGAACCTCCAAATCTACCTCCTCTAATCGGACCCACACTTTTGTAGTGTGTAGCATGTGCCTGATTATCATGATCATATACCTTACACTTGTTCTCTAATGTTGGATAATGATAAATCTCTTGGTAGTTGATCATCACCTTCACCTCAAGATGAAGGCCATTTACAAACTTGACGCACTTCACTGTTTCACCACCCTCACCATGGTAGTGAGAACAATAATAAACCAACTCATCAAACTTATCAACATACTTAGCCACCATACCCTCTTCTTGCTTCAACTCTAGAAACTCTACCTCTTTCAGGCTTTACACATAATCAAGGAAGTACTTCACCAAGAAAACCCTTTTGAATTTATCTCAGTTAACAAGTGTGCTTTCATCCATCATCCTTTGAAGAACACCTTCCCACCAAAAATATGCATCAACAATCAACATAAATGTAGCTAGATTCACCTTCTGATTAGTAAGACACTCCATAACCTTAAAGATCTTCTCTGTATTAGTCAATTGGATCATCACACTTTTTGGATCATATCCTCCCTTAAAAAAGGCTGGATGTTTACGCTAAAATTTCTCCAACAAGCTAAGAGCAACTCCAACTTTATTGGTCCCTATAACTAATTCTCTAACGCTTGAAGAACATCGATGATAGCACAATCATTATTACCAACCATAACACTATTACACAACAACAAACAAGTTAACTATTGACACAATATATCACATCAATCATCATCATAGTACACACGAAATACATAGTTAAGACACATAACACTCACATCTAGTTTGAATCAACCAGGATCTGATATCACAAAATGTGACACCCTTTACCCCACATACCATAATACTTGAAATAAATAAAACTAAATCAAAAAGTTTATCATAATAAAAATTTATCGTGTTCAATATAGAAAGTATATCATATTTTAACAAAACAAAAAACAAACTAATATTCACATGAAATCTAATACAGTAAAATAACCATTGTTCAAAACATAACTAAAGAAACACTAATTCTAACCAAGCCCCAATGTCACTTCCTATTAGAACATAACTAAAGACAACTATCAATGTCTTGTGCAGACACCCCTTCCCTCTTAGATTAAACATTCGACGCATTTACGAAATCGATCAAGAAGGTCAAATGAGCAAAAAACTAAGTTATAGGAAGACAATAATGTATCTCACACAGGTACATGGTTAATTTCATCAATCAAACTAATCTTGTAAATCTTTGATTGCTCATGGGTCCTTATGAGAACCTTAAAGGAACCCATTTTTGGTGTTTGTATGAGGAATTGAGAGAAACATGTGAATATATGTAATTAATAGCTTAATGGATTGTTTTAGATTTTTAATCTACGATTCTATCGATTGGATGGCTAACTTTTATGAATTTTGGTAGTGAGAGGAGACACGAGTTCGAAATAATTGAAGTTGCTTCTGTTGGAATCCGTCATGGGTGTGAATGGTCAATCATGGACATGACTAGTGAGTCATGACCGTGACATGCCTTGATCTTGACTCTCATTTTTAAATTCCCTGAGCCAGTCACAAGCATGATTGACATCGCAGTTGTGACCGGTGAGTCATGGCTCACCCTGTTGCTTTTTCTTCTTCTCATTTTCCTTATCTTTTCTCCCTTTTATCACCTTTATTGCTTATGAGTTATATTTATGAGTTTGAAATATAATTTATTGCACTAATGGATGCATATAATTATGATATGATGAATGAATATTGTAAATGGAATGTGATTGATAAATCGTTGAGTGTGTGTAATGCATTATGATATGTTAGAGAGTCAGTTGTGACATGTATCATATGCACATAAATTGACAAATCATTATATATGTATTGAGCATATCTTGTGATTGATACCACAAGCATTCAAATCAAGAATTCGTGTCTATTACATTCCATATCGCATTTAAATGTTTATTGTTGTTGAGAGTATTTGTATGATGTGTTAAGAATGAATTATGAATTAATTATATTGTGACCATGTGGAATGTGTGTCTATTTGTAAAGTGATTATTTTATAGGTGCTATGTTGTGTGTGTGATTATCTGTCTTTTATCGTATGTCATGAGCTACAGTGAGAAGTTTTTCACTCCCATTGTTTCCATATCTTTGTTATTATGTATATTATTGTAGGCAATGCTCATCAAGATATTGATAGTGTCGATGATTAGGCTTAAGCATTGTATTGAGAATGCTCTGATAATATATGTGACATCAGAACTTAGATTAAGATTACTTTTTATGTTATGTTTATAATATGTTTCATGTTGAGATTTGAATTTTTGTGATTTGTAATTTTGTTTTAAGAGATTATTATGTGACTCTCTTTATCTTATATTGAATTTTATATTTGGTTAATCATACATGAATTAAGTTTTATTTTTATATCCATTATTTTCTTAAATATATGTTATACATATTTGCTGAATAGAGGATGTTACAATGACTATTAACAAAAGTCAAGTCAATTTTTAAAGCATGTTGGAGTATATTTTTCAAACCCATTTTTTTTCATGGTCAACTATATGTAACAATTTCAAGAGTTACATCAAACAATGAATCAAAAAATGTAATTATTGATAATAAAAATAAAAATAAAAATATATTATAATATTATTTACAAAGAAATTTTCAATAATTTATAATAAATTAGTGCATATTTATTTTTTAATATTACTTTTAACTTATTCTTAATATTATTATACTTTATATTCATTATTGTCATAAATTTTATCTATATAATCAATTAAATATCAAATCATCAAACTTATTAAAATAAATGGTGCATCGCACCTGTTACTTACTAGTTAATAACTTAAAAAACATAAGTATAAAAGTATAAAATATATGATTAATGTTAAAATTTGTTATAATTAATAGAATAATATTAAAATATATCATAAATATTTTATAATTAGAATTATTTTATATTTTATATATTAAAATTTATAATAAAAATTCTTCTATT